CTACACAAAGTTTCAAAGGTAGAAGAGAATTGTGTAGAGGATTTAGACCTTATATCACGAAACATATCTGAAATTCTATCACCAAAGTCTTCATTCACAACCTTCCCATTTGCAGGCAGTGTAGTCTTTCTAATTTCTCCATGCCATATCCAATTTGTATACCTCAAATTTATCCCATCACAGATAAGATGCTCTTTTATCTCAGAAATACTCCATCGACTATTGTTTAAACATTTGACACAAGGACAATAGTACAATCCATCTCTTTTACTAGATGCATTTCTCTGAGCAAACTCAAGAAACTTTTCAACCCCATCCTCATATTCCTTGCTAATTCTCTTAGCTTTCATCCAACTACGATCCATTGTTCTACAGATTATTTAAACAACACCTTACTATCAATCAAAATTCATAACGAAGAAAAAAAAATACAAAATAACAAACAGATTATTTATTACTAAATTCTTATATTTATTACAAAAAATTACCAAAAATTCGAAATAAATATCAAAAAATTATAAAAAAATTTAAAAACTTCACAACTAGTCAACTCCAAACATTTAAACATGTTTCTAATATACTCCTCCGGTCCTTATTATAAGACCCAATTTGACTTTTTATTTGGTCCTAATTATAAGACTCAATCCATTTTGTCTCTTATATTTATGCATTTTTTTCCAAGATAATCCTTCTAATAATGATAGTTTTAGCCAATATACTTAATTAGTAAGGATATTTTAAGAATGATAACACTTATTTATTATAAATAACCAACTTAACTTACTTTCTTAATCTCCTCAAATAAGTCAATTGGGTCTTATAATTAGGACCGGAGGAGTAGTATATAAGAAGGAATTAAGGTTTTCTCACATCCAATGCCCACTAATCAACACCAATCAACGGTTCAACCACATAAAAAATGCAAAATGAACAATACAAGCCAATCACAATGTAAAACTAATAAACCCATTTTATATATAACAGATTTTCATGGCCAAAATATTCAATAAATCAAGAAAAATTGAAAAGAATGAAAGAAGAAGATACTCACAGAGCAGAGAAGATTCAAACGCGAAGTGAGGGCGTTCGAACGGCTGTGGACGGCGGCGGACGCACCACAAGCTCAATACAGGAGTTTCAACGGTGGGATAGTGTGGGGTATGACCGGTTTTCGGTGGTGGGATGGAGGGGACCACGGCTGAGCAAGAATGAGGCGAAATGATAGGCGTTCGAACCACGGCGGACGGCAGCAAGGCACCACAAGCTCAATGGAGGAGTTTAAATGGTGGGATAGTGGCGGGAATGGCCGGTAATGGCAGTTTTTCGGTGGTGGGACAAAGGGGGACCACGGCGCACTGAAGAAATGAGAAAGAAAGTGAAGCAAGTCGAGCGCCGCAAAAGGGAAATGAACACACTTTCCACGGCGGTTTTTAAGAAAACCACCGTGAAAAGTGTAGCCCCTCTTCATTTTATTTACAAAAATGCCACTGCCTTTTTTTTCACGTCGTTTTTCTGCTTAACCGCCATTATTTTGCAACGTTAAAAGTCTTTTTTCTAGTAGTGAGGGTGCATTTTAGAAAGTGGGAGTTCGATCCGATGGACATGAAGAATCTATTGCAAGAAAATGAAACTTGTCTTATGTATCTATGGAAATGAAGAATCCATTCCTAAAGAGAGACGATCATGGCTTGTGGGAAAGAGAAAGCTAGTGTATATCAATGGATTAATGGCAGTTGGCGATTTATTAAGGGAAGGAGTTATAAATTTAGGAGAATAAAGTATAAGGATCCAATAAAAAGAAATAAAACTAGAAGAACCAAATTCAAAATATGATAAAACTATAAGAACTTCCAAAATTAATTTTCCCTATTATATGCAACTTCTGCCATTACATATATTCATATGTCCTATTTTTGAACACATCACCATAGGAGATGAGAGAACTCAACATAATGAATACAAGAAATTTGATGTGATTATTGTCTATTTTTAATTTCATCTTTTTAACCAACAGACATTTTGCAATACACACATGTTGAAATACAAAGGAAGAGGCCAAAGTCAAGGAGAAACATACAATCAAAAACTATGGCCATCCTACTTATTATACCAATCTTGATTACTAAGGTTTCTACATCCAAACAACCTAAATGTATGAGTATAGGGTTTTGCATGGAAAATTGGAAAAAAAAAAAAGGCATTAAAGTTTAAAACAAACTCAAATTGAAACTTATAAAATAAACTAATATCCTTCTTAAATTTTGAAATTATAAATAAAACTAGAAGGAGTATAATTTTGGAGATAAAATATACTAATATTTTATTTTTAGGAGGACAATAAACTTATTCGCCAACTCTTATATTTAAAACTATAAAACAAAGTATAAAAGATGAAATGGATAGAGACCACTTTTTATGTGGACCAATTTATTATTTGTACCAAAAATACCCGAATTGTGCTGGGGACATGAACATAGACATATTCAACACAATACAATTTGTTTGATGTCACCCAATTGTCCGCATCCCCACCTTACCACAAAAATGGGAAGAAAGAGGCACAAAAGGTGGGATGGGGACATTCATAAAGTGCGTGAGAAACATCTCTCTTACATACACAATAAATGAACCCACAAACACCCATTTTGGATTACTTCAATCTGGACATTTCCACACGTTCATTCATGTATGGCCCCCTTTCCTAACACGACACTTCAATCACCTTCCTCTACAATCTCAATATTTGACATCATCATGTCTAAAATTTGGGGTGAAGGGCATTATATTATTTGCGACTTCTATACTCCCCCTATCGTTTCTAGTAGAATAATTTAATCTAAAATATAAACCACTTAAAAAGTAATTAATATTTATTGATCAATTTTACTTAAATATAAGCATGCAACTCATTGTTTTTTTTTCCTATCCTTCACAGCCTCTTTAATATGGTAAACTTTGAAAAAAGTTTTCGATTTGAAATACATTTAATTAATTTAGTACTATTTTATTCCTATTTATGAGTCACTTGTAGAATAATTAATGAGCATTTTTCAATTTTACTCTTATTGACTTCAATAGATGAGAGATTATATAAAACATATTTTGTTTTACTACCATTCCTTTAATAAGGGCAAAAGGGGAAAAAATCAATTTAATGCATTTCTTGGATTGCAAGGCTTGGAGACAAGTGGCTTATAAATAAGAACAAAGTTTTTTTTATATGGATGAATTGATTAAAATGACTTATATTGCGGATTAAAGGAGTATATATGATTTATATGATAAATACTCCTCCGATCCTTAATATAAGACCTACTTAACTAATTTGATTAGATTAAAAAAGGTAAGTAAGTTAGTTAATTATGAAAAATATGATATATTTTTCCTAAAACATTATAATCACCTTTCTTAATATCCTCCCTCCATCTTCTACTTAATTATAGTTGAGGGAATATAGGGGTAATTTATAAAAAATTGATAAATATAAAAAATATATCTTATATTTAGGACTAAAATCAACTTAATAATTAAGTCTTATATTAAGGACCGGACGAGTACATGCTTGTTGTAAGTCATAAATGATTGAGATATATCATTAATTTCATAAATAATCATCAGCCGGGGGGGGGGGGGGCTGCACATGTGAATATATTGTCTGCAGGCTGGCCAATATTGACTTATTGGTGCCCTCACGATTCCTCAATGGATGGGAGATTCCCACCATTCCTGGCCTCAAACTTCTCCAAGCTAAGGACACAATAAATGCATGGGCATGTGTAGAAGAATTCGGATTTTATTTTAAGTTAATTGTAAATAATTAATATTATTAAATTATTAAAAATTAATTCTGTGTGAATAATATTTTGTTCGGAGAGAATTCACGAAATTTTAATAGATGCTAGTAGAAACTATCAAGTAAATAAAAGCTAAAACACTGGTTCTAGGTGTGATGATGAGTACTCCCTCCCTTCCTTTTTATACAAGCAACGTTAGACTCCATTATATAGATCAAAAAATTAGTTAAAGATAATAAATAAATAAAAATTGAGAATTCTTTCTCCAATATACCCTTATTTATGGGGAAAATATGAGAATTCAAAAGAGAATAAGAAAATTATTATAATAAAAAGAATTATGAAAGAGAGAGAATGTGTAATGAAAAGAGATGATGGTTTGGAAAATGAGATAATAAATATATTGAGTATTAAAATAAATAATTAATGGGAAAAAATAGAAAATTTGCTACAATAATTTAAGACAACTTGTAAATGTTACTTATATTTATAAACAAAAGGAGATGGTAGTTGTTGCTTATAAAAAGAGACGGAGAGAATATAATATTCTCTCCAATTCTTATTACAAGACATCTTCAACTACCTCACTAGAATTGAAGAGTCACTAAGTTATTAAATTTGTTTGAAAATAATTTTTTTCCAGATTACATTTTGAAAAGCACAAAAAACATGAAGATAGTATTAAAAATATAACTAATACCTTTCTTTATAGAAGAAGAACCAAAGTTGTTGCTTTCAACAATAGGACCCCATGTATGGGGTGCAAAAGTGAACACCATTACAAGAATGTGAAGAAGACAAATCCCTCATTCAGCTGCAACTCTGTACAAAGCAAAACAACAAATATTAGAGTAGGGACTGCATCACACAAAATTGTAGCCATTAATAACATCATCATCAAAAAAAAGAAAAGAAAAGGCAAAAACAAAAAAAAAAAGATCCTGATAATCTGCCAAAAATCAAATCAGAGAGAGAGAGAGATAACAACAAAAAGTTGATCATGCTCTGGATTACTGTGAGCTCACTGTCCATACATTTACAAGTGTGTAGCTAAGGTAGCCCTAAGCATATTCCTCACAGAGATTGCTTTCATATAAAGCCTTCCAATCACAATTCTCTCCCTATCTTCTCTAATACACATGTGCAACTAGCTTGAGACCGTTACGTACGTCCACTTTTCAACACCACTCATATATCTTCTCTTTTTTCCCCAGCAAAACACACCCATCACCCATCTTCTCCCTCTTTTTCCTTCTCAGTCTTCTTCCATCTTCATCCCAGAAAAAAAAGCAGAAACAAAGAGAGAAAGAAGAAGAAGAAGAAGAAGAACCCAGTTGCCAAGCTTCATTCATCTTGAGAGATGTCTAGTGTTCTTCTTTGGGTGACATGTGGGCCCAAAGAGAACGCCATTAACTCTCTGTTGGGAGGATTATCATCATCATCAGTAGGTAGAAGTGGGAGTGGGAGATTTACGCAGAGAACTGTGGTTTCTGCGTTTTCGAGTGTATTTGCAGATCCTTCCAGATCATCATCGTCCGAGGAGAGGGTGTACGAGGTGGTCCTGAAGCAAGCAGCTCTGGTGAAACAGCAGAAGAAAACCCTAGATCATTTTTACAAAGACGATTACACTGAAACTGATCTCGCCAATGGAGATCTGTTGAATTCTGCTTATGATCGCTGTAGTGAAGTTTGTGCTGAGTATGCCAAGACCTTTTACCTCGGTACTTTTATACACATACCATTACTGCTTCTCTTGTTTCTTTATATCTCTCACTCATGAATAATATTTATACAGTCGGTTTATTAGTTTATTCCATAATTAAGCTTGGAATTCGAAGAGCTTCTTTATTATCCAAAGAGGATAATGGAAGTTTCCCCCTCTGTCTATAAATTTTCTCTCCCACTCAATGTTTTATGATCTCCTATCGTTGTACAAGATCAAAGTAAATCATTAAGAATTCCAGCATGCAAGTATGCAGGTAGAATCACTAGAGAGAAAACTAGCTAGTTTTATTTAATTGGCAAGTTGACTGAAGAATCAAATAAGATAATAATTAAAGTAAACAGTATTTAGGACATTTATTATTTGTGCGTGAGCTGATTTGTCCCTTTCAAATGCAAATTGCAGGAACACAATTGATGACGCCAGAGCGAAGAAAGGCAATATGGGCAATTTACGGTATGTGTGGTTGCTCTCAAACAACTTAAGCAATAAATGAGTGGTCCATCCATATGGCTGATGATAAGAATACCAATTAATATATAAATTATGTTTGGCCACAAATTATTGCAGTGTGGTGCAGAAGAACAGATGAACTAGTGGATGGGCCAAACGCTCCACATATAACTCCAAAAGCCTTAGACAGGTGGGAGCAAAGGCTGAGTGACGTTTTTGCAGGTCGTCCTTATGACATGTACGATGCTGCCCTCTCTGATACTGTCTCCAGATTCCCAGTTGATATTCAGGTGCATATATACGTATACATGTTTGTGTATATATGTATGTATACTGTAGTATACTTTGTCAACTTCTCCTCCTAAACAGACGAAAAAAAACCTTTAGAACAGATGAAAATAACATATTTTGTGGTAGTGTGACTTACTGTTAAAATCCCTTGAAGCTAGCTTAGAGATTTATTGTGCTTGAAGTACTTGCTCACACTTAATATGTTTGTGTTTGAATCAATATGATAGCCATTCAAAGACATGATAGAGGGGATGAGGCTGGATTTGAGAAAGTCAAGATACAGCAACTTTGACGAGTTGTATCTGTACTGCTACTACGTGGCTGGCACAGTGGGGCTTATGAGTGTGCCAGTAATGGGGATATCTCCAGAATCAAAGGCTTCGGCTGAGACTGTTTACAATGCTGCTTTGGCCCTTGGCATTGCAAATCAGCTCACCAACATCCTCAGAGACGTTGGAGAAGAGTAAGCTTCTTAATTTCATTTCAAAATTATAAAGATTATTTATAGGATTAAGTATATTTTTGCCTTAAAAGTATTCCTAAAGGAGTTATATAAGCATCCCAAAGAAAATTATGATGCAATGCAGCGTATAATCTCCGTTTTTCTTTTCTTTTTTAATTAAAAGAGTAGGCACTAATGACCTGAAATTACAAGCAGAATCAAACTCGTGACTTTTCACTTATAAGGAGAGCTTATATATCATTACACTACAGCTATTGTGCAATAATCTCTTAACATTGGTGTTTTGTCACCTTTTTATAGTCAACCTTTAACATTAATGGAGGTTGGTAAACTACTTTTACTTAACATTGACTTTTGAAAGTTCATATGCTAGATTGCGTCTCAATTTTCTTTTGATGTCTATAACTCTCAGAAATATTTTCAGAGTAAACATGGAACTTCAATCCAAAGACTTAATTATACACACATGAATGAAATTAACTCACTTCTATTGGTATTCTCATCAATCAATCTTATATATAGTGCTAGAAGAGGGAGAATATATCTGCCACAAGATGAGCTGGCGCAAGCAGGCCTATCGGATGAAGACATTTGGGAGGGCCGAGTGACCGACAAGTGGCGGAATTTCATGAAGGGACAGATAAAGAGGGCAAGGATGTTTTTTGAGGAAGCAGAGAAAGGAGTAACAGAGCTGGAATCAGCAAGCAGATGGCCAGTGTGGGCGTCATTGTTAATATACAAACAGATATTAGACGAAATTGAAGCCAATGATTATAATAACTTCACAAAAAGGGCTTATGTTGGCAAAGCTAAGAAGCTCTTATCACTTCCTGCAGCCTATGGCAAAGCTCTTCTCGGACCGCAACAAAAGCTAACTCAAGTGTTTAAGAGATAAGTGATTATATTATTCATTATTTTATGTTTTTTCCCTCATGCAGAAGCGACAATAACAATCTTCTTTTGAGCTTCTTGTAGATTCTATTCACTAGATTTTAGAAAAGTAATCATTTTTGTAAATTAATTACTTGATATATTCTACACGGTGTTCAAGAGAAAACAGCTGAATATATAATTAAGCCTCCTCTGTGTGTGTGTGTGTGTGTGTGTGTGTGTGTGTTTTTCCTTTAAAGGCCCTGGTGGGTTAAATAAGGAGGCAATAAGCTTGAAATCCTGCAGTTCATGTTGCTAGCTAATCCTGCAACTCACTGTATTCCTTTTAGACTGGGTAGGAACAGTAATATTGTAATCAGTGGTGTGCAAGTTGATGATTTTCACAACGCAAAAAAGTGATCATGGCCCTACACTTTAGTGCAAGTATCCCATTATTTGATATGAGTGGTCTAAATTTAAAATTGTTTATCTGCCATTTTTTAATAATAATTTTTTTTAGGAAGTGCAATTTATAAGGTTATATATATATACTCCTTCGATCCTTAACATAAGACTCATTTAACTAATTTGATTAGATTAAAAAATTTAGGTAAGTTAGTTAATTATAAATAATTTGATTAGATTAAAGAAGTTAGGTAAGTTAGTTAATTATAAAAAATGTGATACATTTTTCCTAAAACACCATAATCATCTTTCTTAATACCCCATCTCTCTCTTCTATTTGATTATAGTGGGGTAATTTAGAGAAAACTAATAAATATGAGAAATAGGTCTTATATTTAGAATCAAAACTAACTCAATAATTAGATTCTATATTAAAAGACCGGAGGACTATATATATTTGGACTCAGTGTTTCTTCCTTGGAATTTATGGTCTAAATCACATGGGACTCTCCGTACGTTGGATGAAGTTCATGTTACGTTGTCAAAATCCTTGGGCTACTATATGGACCCTCAGATGTAAACTGAAAGCCCGCTTGCTCACGCAAGTCTTTTTCTTGTTTCAAAAACTGAAGAAGGTTGTCCCCCCAAAAAAAAAAAACCACTGAGGAGGGGCAGTTTTACTTTTTTGGTGAGAATTACATTCATGTACTTAGAGCTTCGATTGAGTACTTTTAAAAATAGTTTTTTAATCATAATTTATGAAATACTACCTCCGGTCCTTAATATAAGACCTCGTTTGACTTTTATTTTGGTCCTAAATATAATACCCCAATCCATTTTGTCTCTAATATTTGTGTATTTTTTTCTAAGATAATCCTTCTAACAATAGTAGTTATAACCAATATACTTAATTAGCAAGGGTATTTTAGGAAAGAAAACATCCATTTATGACAAATAACTAACTTAACTTCTTTTTTTAATTTTCTCAAATTAATCAACTGGTTCTTATAATTAAGACCGAAAGTAATATGAAATATATATACTGAAGAAATTTTGTCTAGACTTACATAAAAGTATTTATAAGCACTTTTCACCTTTCATTCAAATTTTGGATATGTAGAGAGAGGATTATGAGATTTGAAGGGGAAGCCATTGGTTTATTAAATATAAATCCTCTTTCGAATTTTAATGTATAATTATTACGTATATATTTTTAATAATACAGTTGTTAAAGATAATTAAGATTTAAAATAATGTAAAATAAAAGGGAGGATAAAATGGGAAAAAAGAATAATTGTTACATCGTATTCTATAAATACTAGCAATTGTGTTCATCTGAAAATTTAATGTACTTTCTTCATTTGTATTCCTAATTATTTTTGTGTGTCTTTTTTTCATTAATATTTAACATGACCTTGCTTTGTTATCTTAAAAAAATACCAGCCTAGTGAGTCTGGTTCATAAATGCAAGACGCACCTTAGATTGTTTTAACTTGGAAACTGGAAGCAAGTCGATGTGGAGACTTTCTTCAATCAACATGGAAACGTTTTTTATTTATTTATTTATTTAGTTTTTAACAAAATCAACATGGAAACGTCAGTCAAGAGAATCCAAGATCAATAAATTTGATTTCTTAAGTAAAAGTGCAAAAACGTAATTATTTCAGCCTACAAACTAATTATTTTATATTAGCAAATACTCCCTCTCGATCTTACCATTTTTTGGGTAGGGTTGGTTTTTTTATAAGTTTTTTTTTAAATTTTTATAAGTTATACTCTGTATATATCTGAAAATTTAATTCTTTTTTTTTTTCATTTTTACCATTACTAGTTACCACCTTACTCCTTAATATAAATCATTTGTAACATATTCTCACATGTCAAGAAATGTATTAAATTGAAAAAAAATTAATTTTATCCTTATTAAAGTTTTTTCTCTCTCTCCGTTTACCAATAATTTTCATATCTCTCCATTTTTTCTCTCTTTCCAATCACAATTAAATAAAATTGAAATTAGAAAATAAACATCAAACATACTAAAAATGACTTCAGTGACTTACTGGGACCAAAACCTCTTTCTACGAGTAACTTAAGAGGGGTACATGGATCTGCATTAATTACTATATGTCGGTTAAAGATTATATTTTATCTTCTCTTTTTTTTTATAGACCTTCTCTTATTTCTTTTTTCCATATATTCTCTCATATATATTTTTCTCACTCTTTCTCTCTATAAATAAAAGTATATTTTTTGGGATATATTTTTCACGTGCCTTTGACCATTTTAATAAACTTTAATTTTTATCTATGTAATAATAATTCGATTATTTGTATCTTATATATATCACATCAGATAGCAGAATTATATAATCAAGATTTATTATTTTATTTTATTTTATTTATTCAAATGCTAAATACAAGACTCCTTTGATGTATTTTCAATGCCTTATGCATCACCGGGAACAAAAGCTGATAGATTCAGACTAAGATCACCATCATCTCCATCGTCGGCATTTGCAGAAAAATCTTCTTCTCCGGCCTGATGATGATGATCAGTTTTTGCAGAGCTTGAAGAAGAAGCTTCTCCTCCAGAAAATACACCACCCAACGTTAATCTCAGATCATCATCATCCCCAGTACCCTTCCCAGCCAAAAGCTCCTCTTTACGACTGCGTATTTTCACTCTCAGAGCTTCAAGTGATTCCTTCAACTTCATCAGCTCATCTCTGCTCATCTTCTCGATATCTGGAAGATTCTTCATCTCCTGGTTCAGCTCCTTGCCTCGTTCCTTCTCTTCCTTCAACTGCGCATTCAGATCGCTGTACTCCTTGTCCAGCTCCGCCATGATCGCTTCTCGCTGGGCCTTTTCTTCTTCAGAAGAATTATGGAGAATGGGATCTGCAGAACCGGTGATGAGTCTGTCGATTACTGCATCAGTAGAAGGATGGCCGAACGAGTAGGGTTTGCCCCCGGGAGAGAAGATGACGAGAGCCATCTCGACGGCGCACAAAGTACAGAGCTCGCTGGCTTTCTGGAAGATGGAACACCGGCGCTTGGAGAAGGTGGTATGCTTGGTTCTGGGGTCGGCGATCAGCTTCCTGTTCTTCTGTCTCGGTCGTCTCGCCATCATTGTTGATTCTTGAAGCAGAAGAAATTCTTCAAGTGAAAGAGAGAATGAATTTGAGTTGATCGATGGTATTGAAGAAGAAGAAGAGGGGCCTGATGAATTTATAGAGCAGTATATGCAGATTTTGATTCTGACTTTGAAATGTGCTCATGTCGTTGTTTTATTGGTCCAGTTTTCGTGTTTTTCACCCATATTTATGCGTTTGAAACAATAATTTCAAAATGTAATAAAATTGTAATGATATTGTCACAAGTGAGCTTGTGTGTATGTGTGTACATATACTCTTCTACTCCTATTTTCTACTCCTATTTATAAAACACTTTCAATATGTTTTACATAGATTAAGAAAAACCTTAAAATGCATTAACTATTCATTAAAATATATCAACTTTCTAACTTTACCCCTATTTGATATATACATCTTTAAAAAAAATAACTATCTATACTATAATAAATAAAAGACAATATAGTACATTCATGATAAAAATTTAATGAAGTGACTTATAAATAAGACAACAAAAAATCTTCTCTTTCTGCCCTATAAATAGGACCAGAGAAGTACTACTCCGTTTCTTATTATAAAATCCTTTTAACTAAATTACACGGTTTAAGAAAACAGTTAAAATTAATTAAAAACAATTAATATGTACCAAATGTAATTTTTTTTCCGAATATACTCCTATATATAAATGGGTAAATATGAGAGAGTAACAGTAAGATAAATGAAGAAATGAAATGTATTAAATGCATTAAATTAGAGGTAAAATAGGATTTAGTGTATTAAGTGTTCAGACAAACTCAAAATAGATTTTACAAAAAAAGACAAACCTATTCAAAAAATTAGATCTTATAATAAAGGACGGAGATAGTATATAACTTATAATTTATCATGTTGCTCCCTTCATTTATAATAGTAGTAATAAATATAGTGTAGTCGCTTAATTAAAATGTTAGACTACGTACGTATCATTGACAAAATTTGGCTCCCTATGACTAATTAATGATGATTAAAAAATAGTATGATATTCTTGTATGCATAAGAGAATATTGTAATTATAAAATAAAACAGAATATGACGCTATTAATCACTAAAAAGGCAATAAATTTATCATCATGAGGTCAAGATAGAAAGAAATTCTCTCAAAATTTCTCACACACTACCTCTGATGCTCGATATAAGATCTAGTTGACTAATTTGAGTATACTAAAAAAACTAGTTAAGTTAGTTATTTGTAATAAATATGTGTTATATTTCCTCAATTATTCTTGGTAATCAAGTATATTAGTTAGAATTATAATTATTACAAGAATTATATTTTAAAAAAATGGATAAAAATGACAGACAAGATGAATTTGGACCTTATATTTAGGATCAAAATAAAAGTAAACTAGCTCTTATACTAAAGACCGGAGATACTATATAGATAGGTTTTAAAGAGCATTTTCACAAAAATTTCTCATGAAGAAAAAGACTTGATAAGTGTAAGGTCTTGAAGTTTGAGTCCATATAAATGAAAAACACTTTTAAAATGGATATCATAATACTCAAATCTCAAATAGGTATTACATAAAAAAAAAAGTGATAGATATTTACTTTTTTATTAAAAATTTGACTATTTTTATCACATGAGCATTTCATTTTAATTTTTTTATCACATAAGAAATAATAAATGAAACATAAATATAGTTGGTGAAAAAAATGAGACATAAATATGAGTTAAAGATGAATTCAATATATTAAATGTCTGATTTAATTAGTTAGGTTGAACTAAAATTCAGTCTAGGTTATCTGTATTTCAAGAGGACAATCATGTGATATTTTTCTGGTTCAAACTCTTCGTCAACAATCGTTGTTGACGACATCTAGACTATCTAGATTTGATCAAAATGATCCAATTCTTGCCACTTTTTATATTGCATAATTTTTTTAGTTTACAATTTAAAAATACTATGTAAAATAAGGTAATGCAGACATGTTTTCATCGTTTTGGCAAGTTGATATAGCCGTTTGTGCTATTGAGAAGAGAGCTTTGCACACCACGTCACCTCCTACATGTTCATTGCATTTGACTTATTTTTCAATGGAACTCTTGGTGTATTCAGACTTATAATTACTAGTCAAGCTTGCCCTTCCAAATCAAACGTGTCATCAAAACTTTGAAATGCGAAAAACCTTCTTCATCTAACGTTGTTGCTAGACTTCGATGACGTTGTAACTCAGTAATGTAAAAGTTTTCTTATAAGTGGGATGTTGTAAGTTTGATTCGTCTTATAATCTAAGGTCGTTATTATCTGCCGTTATAATCAAGAAAATGTTGTAGCTCTTGCATTAGACTTTTGAGAGCCAACGTTAGAGTGTTCATTTGCATAGGGGAAGTAGGTCCCACCAGGGGGTTACTCTCTAGGCCTTCTCCTGAAAAGAAGATCAATAAGGTGATGGACATGGATCAGAAGATATGGGTTTATATCCAATGGTTTGGGCTTTAAGCCTGGAGAAACGAACTAACCTTATACGTAACACGCCCTGAAACCCAAGGGTTTGGTTGAGAATGATTCAAGGCCTAGGCACATTCTGCCGATTCGATTATAATTTCAATTCCTATTTTTTATTTTTAATGTTTCGTATTCAACGAGACTTATATTTTGTTACTAGTCCTTGATTTGTTATGAATTAGTTGCTATCATCAAACATATAGAATCATTGCTATTGTGGTTGCTTAGTCATGTCATTTAAAGATGAATAATCCCATGTACTAGCATCATTACAAAGTTTTTACCCAGCAAATGTTGGCTTTTACCAAATGCGAATATGTGTAAATACCATTGAAACATTTTAAAAACTATAAGCACCTGCATAATAATTTTTCATTGACTTTCTTAATGAGAAATGAACCCCAAATTAATAGGGATAAGTTTTTTTTTTTATATTTGTCATAAGCATTTTTATATACACATTAATTTGTGGTTGTGGAGCAAAAGCTCAAAGTAAAAATTTCGGGGTTCTGGCCAAAAAATAACAAAAGGCAAAATAAAGGGTGGAACCCGTATCAAGGGTCTCTCACACGTGTCCAAATCTCTTTGGAGGATTGGTGATAACCCGTTGAGGGCCCACCATGAGACGCTATGAACTCCAGAACACCAGAACAAATCTCTTCCAACACAACCGGCGCGGTGGTATCCACCACCATCTTGGGCACCGTACCCACCTCGTACTCTGTGCACCCACCGTACCCTTCCAGAAGCCTCTCTAAATCCCGCCACGTGGCCGGCTTATGGGAGCTTCCGGAGCGCCGTTCCAGCCTGCGACGCCACTCGGCTTGGTCGCTCGGCTTGCACTCCACGACAACGAGCCGCGCGCCGGCAGAGTCAGCGATGTGGATGAGGCTATCGAGGTGGGCGCGGCGCGAGAGTGGGGAGTCGAGGACGACGGTGAGGCCGAGGCGGAGCTGAGTGGAGGCGATCTGCCAGATGACGTGGTAGGAGAGGTCGTTGAGGAGGGAGGTGGGAGTGGGTGTGGGGAGGTGTTGGAGCGGCACGGTGGAGTCGCGAACATCGTCTTTGTCGATGAGAGGAACACGAAGGGAAGAGGCTATGGAATGTGCCAGAGTGCTTTTGCCTGTGCCTGGATGGCCTTTCATTGCTATGATCATCGGAGCTCCCTCAAATTTCTTCTGCGACTTCGCCATCTCAAATTTGCAGCGACGAATCTGTCCCGTTCAGAAGAAGATTCAGAATTCTCAAAATTAGAAATTTTCAGAATACCGTTGGATTGCAAGGAATTGTGTGGAGGATATTCTCCATTCCTTCATCATCAGGATTTTTTTGTTTGGGAGAATTGTAGAGTTACACAGAAAACATTTTACTGCTAAAAGGTCCCATAAAATAACAAAACAACTCTGAAGTCTTAGTGACGTAAGTGTGAATAATCTGAAACGATCAATTATGAATTTGTCCTTAATGACTAAATAACAAAAATTCATGAATATGTTTGAATCCCACCCTCCTTCTTCGGCCCTCATCTCCTACTCCATCGACATCATGTGACATGACCTCTCCACTATTCTCACCAAGAGTCACAGTCGTCTTGGTTCACTCATGACAATCAAGGTCTTCCTCAAAAAGTTGCTCTCAAGGCCATTTCGGGTTTTTTATTTTATTGTTTTTGCTTGCAATTATTTAATTCATCAGATAGCAATTAATGTTCTGTTTCTGATGAAAATGGATGAAAATAGCAGGTTGTTATTGTCATAACCCCTTTAATGCGATAATTAAATGTCTTGTTAATGGGTATATCGAAGGTTGTTAATGTAACTGTATGACTTGTCATTAACAAGTGATTGTGACAGATTGATATAAAGGATGACAACTTCAAGTATAAAACATTTATTCTGTTACCTCCATATAGGAGACAATTTATTAATGGTGTAGAAAGTGAAATGTAATATGTTGGAGGTGGTGTGAGAACAAGAATGATAAAAGAAGGCATATCATATGAAGAATTTAGAACAATGGTAGCACCAATTTGGGGAAAAGAAAGTAATGGAATGGTTATGAAATTTATAATAACCTTTGATGAGTGTACATTTGTGGACCTTGTAGATAAAATATAAATTTGGTGTAGTTACATTGTACATATATATAAAGTGATAAATGACATCTAGTTATAATTTGATATAATATCATATCTCTATTTTGTTACACTTGTCAATAGGTTGTCATGAACTTGTTATTAGACGTCGTGGAGGTTGTTATTGGCAGTCTGAATTAAGTTATTGATATAAAGTGACAATTTCTCCCACTTACATTATTCAATGATTTCTTAATACATGATTTTAGTGTGCAAGTTGTAATATGATATGATTTAGTTATAATTTAATTTTTGTAGAAGCTGTGGTATCTCATAGAGTTAGTTGTCACGACACTGTTGAGGTTGTTAACCACATCTCCTCGGGTTGTCAACAGTCGCCATTGAGGTTGTAAATAAATCTCTGTAATAAAAATCTACTGTAATCCTATTGGATTCACTTAAAGCTGTTAATGACTTCAAAATGCTTCCTATTATATTGTTAAGGTTATTATATGTGCTGATAATACAATTTTTTTAAAAGTTGTGATATCCCACAGAGTAAGTTGTCAAGGGCACTGTCGAGGTTGTTAACCACTTCTCCTTGGGTTATCAAAAGCCGCTGTTGAAGTTATAAATGGATCTGGCATAGAGGACTATGGTATATACCTATCATGTCATCATGATTAACATTTGTTTATCCAATTTTATTAAGTCTTCATTTATGGACATGATCCGGGTTTGAAATGAAGAATTTCGTAGTTATCAAAACACATGAATGCCATTAAAAAAACTTCATAACTAGTAAACAATATCGATACACATTGACATAAATTAACATTCAACTATCATTATATTTTGTCCAAATACAAATACAAGTACTTTAGTCAATGAACATTATCTCCCAAAAGTTCAAATACAATTAGTTGTTGTGCACAACAACAACAACTCACGTGTTAGATTGCACATGTACTTTTGCCCATATGACTTCCTTATCAATTTTGTCCTTTTTTGTCAAATAGTGCTGGCTTCACTTTACGAAGAACTTGGTAGAAATAATCTCTCTGCAAAAAAGAAATAGAAAAAAGAACAAGTTTGACAGTAGTGAATGACAAGTAATTAGCAGGCATTAAAAATCTTGAGAGTAGTGAATGATAAGTAATCAGCAAGCATTAACAACCTTGACAGTAGTGAATGACTAGTAATCAGCAGGCATTAACAATCTTGACAGTGGTGAAAGACAATTAATCAGCAGGTATTAATAACCTTAATAGAAGTGAATGATAAGTAATCAGTAGGCATTAACAACATTGACAGTAGTGAATGATAAGTAATCAGCAAGCATTAATTGACAATTTATTAAAACCAATTCTTTTCAGCCTTTTCATCTTATCTTCACTTTTTGTTAAGTGCTTGCAAACTTCCATATAGTATCCCGAAGCATATCATGTGTGGAAGGGAACAATATGATTCTTTATTTTCTGTGGGACTCTAATTTCTTTAGCCCTTTCACCATATTGTTTTTTCTTTTCTTTTTTTTCTGTTAACTTCTCCCAAGCCTTTATCATTCTTGTTCTACACCATCTCCAACATATTGCATTTCATCTTCTACACCATTAATAAATTGTTCCTCTATATGGAGGTAACAAAACAAATGCTTCCCACTTGAGGTTGTCATCCTTTATATCAACCTGTCACAATCACTTGTTAATGACAAGTCATACAGTTACGTTATCAACCTTCAATGTACCCATTAACAAAACATTTAACTATCGCATTATCGGGGTTATGACAGTAAAAACCTACCATTTTTATCAGAAACAAAGCATCAATTGCTATATGATGAATTAAATAATTGCAAGCAAAAACAATAAAATAAAAAACCTGAAATGGCCTTGAGAACAGCTTCTTGAGGAAGACCTTGATTGTCATGAGAGGACCAAAGCGATTGCGACTCTTGGTCAGAACAGTGGAGAGGTCATGTTGCAGGATGCCGATGGAATAGGAGATTAGGGCCAACGGAGTAGGAGATGAGGGCTGAAGGAGAAGGGTGGGATTCAAACAGATGGGTGAATTTTTTTTTCTTTAGTTATTAAGGGCAAATTCGTAATTGATTGTTTCAGATTATTCACACTTAGGTCCCTAGGGATTTTAGATTTGTTTTCAATGTATAAAAAACCGGACTGGACCGGCCGGTTCAGACCCAAAACCGGTGAACCAGCCAATTGTCTTGTCTAGTTTACCTCTTAAACCGGGAGAAAACCAGCCCGATATAACCTGGCTTAAACCGAAGTGAACTGGTAAAAACCAGAGTAACCCGATGGTTTGGCGGTTTGCACTGGGCTATTGTATTTTTATCTAGAAGAGAAGAAGAGGAGGAAGGAGAAGGAGAAGAGAAGGACGGAGGTTAGAGGTCAAAGGTCAGATATGAAGGAGTAAGAAAATGAAGGCAAGGAGAAGGGAAAAAGATGGTCATCGTCATTTTACTTCGTTGCCATCGTCCTCCTTTGTAAGAGCTGACCAAATCTGTGAAGAGAGAAACCATGGAAGCTGCTTGAAGTTGAAGAAGTAAGACCATGTGATGAAGAACGAAGAAGTAATGGTCACCTGCACAAGATACAATTAAAAAAGAAAAAAGAAGAAGAAGAACAGTGAAGACAAAGACACTATTCGAAGTTCAAGAATGAATGCAAGGCTAAAAAAAGGTTGTCAGTTATTAGCCCCTGCCCTCTACTATATCTGGCATGTTAAACACTCAAACTAAAAAGGAGGAGAGAGAATTTTAAAAAAAGAAAGAAAGAGGGTCACATCGGAAATGAAAAGAAAAAAATCATTTATATGCATGAACAATATAGTTTGTATATTTTAAATAAAATTAAATCTTATTTTTTCAAATTTAAATATGAATATTTTATACATTTTAATTAAATTTTGTTATTTTAATTATTATCGGTTTGATCCCAGTCTGACCCCGATCTGACCCATTAACCCTTGAATCAGTACCTTGACCTAGAGCCAGTAATATGGGTTGAGCTCGTGGGCTCAACCCGCCAACCTGCTAAGAAGTGGTGGGTTGGATTGATAAAAATTGGAATCGTTTTAAAATGGATCTTTTGAGCTTGTAACTGCCAAACCCGTAACCGTAGCGGGCTTACCTGCAGGGTTGGTGAGTCAGCCCGTTTTTTTTTTTTTTAATTTTCCTTTTGAATGGAACGCACCGTGTAGCAATCATGAGTCATGATTAAGCACTTGACACATTATGTTTGTGACTTTGTAGTGTTGTACCGTTGTTAATTTGGATTTATGTTTTAATTTGGTTGTTTATTAAATCATTTTGGATGGATGGATTATGTAATCATATTTAATATTTTGAGATATTTGAAAGTTTAAACTTTGTATTCTATGTTTTATTTTTTATAATTTCTATATTTGCATGTTTTATTTTAGATATTTAGGAATTTGAGTAAATTTTATTTAAAAAAATAAAAAAATTTGGCGGGTTAGCCTAGCGGGCTGGGTTGGAAAAATCCCAACCCGCCAGAAGGCGGTCCTAAAAAGACTGAATCGCAGGTCTTCAGGCTTGCCATGGGCCAGCCCGTAACCGGCGGGCTCGCCCGTATTACTAGCTCTATCTTAACCGGTTTAGTGTCCGATCCGGTTTTTTGGATCTTGTTTGTTTTGTCATTTTATGGGACCTTTTAGTAGTAAAATATTTTCTGTGGGACTCTACAGTAATTTTTCCTTTCTTTTTGGGGACCTGATTCATCAGCAATAAGCGGGATGGAGACAAACATATGTTAGCTATGAGCATTAAATAACTAATAACTAATTTAAAAATATCAACAAAATTAATTATTTTTTATAAATATGTTTTGATCTTTTTCAATTATCACCTTCAATTATATATATTGAATAATTTAAATTATTTTTTTATGAGAATTGCTTCCCATCAATATAAATATTTTAGAAAAGATGACAAACAAATTGAACTGAAATATAAATATTTTAGAAAAGATGACAAACAAATTGAACTGAAATATTATATTAACCCTCAACCAGATAACAATAAATTTGAAAACCATGGGGTGTTTGTATTATAGCAAAATCACTTTTAAAAAGTATTTTCAAGTAGGTAAGACAAAACTCTTCTTATATAATTATTTTATATATCA